TGTTTTATTTTTGATATTTTTTATTTTATTATTATTTTTTATTACTATTTTTTATGGCTTTTATAATTTACTGTAGTTTAGTAAATTTTTGCAGCCTTTTCAAGAAAATGTATACATTTAAGAAATCGTCTTTAGCAAGAACATCTGAATTCATCATTAAAGTTATTTTCATTTTAATACTTTGTTTAGATAACACTGATATTAGCTGTTAAACTACTATAGAGGCCATAAATTCACAACTGCTATAAAATTGTGAATATGGTATCATTTTATTTCTTGTATGTTAACTTGTACATTTTCCCTGAAAAATGACTGCCTGAATAGGGTACACTTTATAGAGTCTTGTAGGGTATTGGTTCTCTGCTTAGCTGAAAAAAAGAAAAGTTATATTAACTTTACGTACCAGTTTCATGTAATTTTATTTAATTTTTGAAATTAGAATCTTGAACATTATAGTCAGTTTTTTAAGAAGAAAAAATATGGTCTATTGATTATTTACCAAGAAGTGAACTATTGGAATTAACATTAAATTCTTTGTGTTTGACAATGTACAGAATATAGTGTGTAGATTTTTTATTTAATACATCTTTGCTGAAGTAGGGGACAAGCATGAGTTTTATATACAAGATGTGCATATCCATATGTAACCTCATGTATGGGTGTGGTATATATGTATATTTAGGTGTTTATTCAAATGAGTTATGTCAGATTCTTATTACAGTTAATTATTTTTTTCTCCTTGCAGTCTGGAGCAACAAAGGGATGAGGTCACCATTCCCACGGCTGTGTATTCTGCCTCTCTTCACCCTGACCGTTCAGTGTTTATTTGTGGAGGCGAAGATTTCAAGATGTACAAATATGACTACAGCACTAATGTAGAGTTAGAATCCTTCAAGGGTCACTTCGGACCTGTCCATTGTGTACGGTTCAGTCCAGATGGGGAACTCTATGCCTCGGGGAGCGAAGATGGCACTCTGCGACTTTGGCAGACAACAGTAGGCAAAACTTATGGCCTCTGGAAGTGTGTAGATGCCTCATCTAATGAAATAATCAATACTCCTGCCAAACCAGAAGCTACTGCTTAAGTGTTGTTGTTTTTCTTCTTCTTCTACCACAAGTCTTGTACTATAGTAAATCCCTAAACCTGTCAGAAAGTTACAGAATTTAACTTAATTTATTATCTAGCTTTAATAAACTTAAACAAGCTGGGAACTTCTCATAATAACATATATTTTGTGTAAAAGACAAAGCAACTCGGTCCTTGTTGGAAGAATGTGTTTCAGATACGTAACTCAAGGAAAGCCTCAAGTATTAGTTTCAGAAGAAAGATGTTGATCAGTTGGAATTTTTTTCTGTGCCTTAAATACAGCTAAGGCATGTGTCATCCTCAGTGAAGGATGTAAAAGTGTTTGAGATCGTGTGTGCCAGAATATAGTCTTTCATCACTGAATTGGTTGTAATTTTATGTATTTAAAAAAAGGAAAATTATTAGAAAGCATCAGCTGCAGTGTGCTTTCAAAACCTTTTGACCCAGTATTCCCCTTTTTTTTGTATCTTGCTTCCTGTATTAGGTTTTATTGTAATTAGTCAATAGTATTTTGAATGTTCTGAAGGTGTTACACACACTCCTGGTGCCTTAGTAACACTTGCATGAGCTTGTCAAGGTCATGCCTTTTTATAGTTGAAGAAGATTTGTCTCTTTAAGAATATCAGTCCTCCTGTAATTTTTTTCATTTGTATTGGTAATGTTTTACAGATACCTGTTACTTTATACCTAAACACAATAGTTTTGTATTATTGTGAAATGTACTTTGCCATACCAGTGGTGTTGGGTTAGATATAATGTGGAATACCTTGAAGTAGGAAAACCTCTCTATCTTTATTTTATAAGTGAATCTCAAAAGTCTTCAAGAAAAATAAAGAAAGTTAAAAAAAAGACATTCCTATGGCCATGGTTGTACTTTTCAGTTTCTTTGTATCTCGGAGGATGTAAGCTCTCATTCCCCACACTTGCAGCAAGACTCAGACCTGCTTAGTTATATGATTATTTTTATAATTGTTATTATTATTATTATTATTATAACAACTATTATTACTATTATCATTATTGTTGTTCATTGTTTATTTTTTATATTAAAATAAAAAAAATATCTTTTCTCTCCTTCCCCCTAGCATTTATGGTTTCAAAGAAAAAAAAAAATGAGGGAGAGAAGGTGGAAGAGGGAGGGTAGGTCAGCAGGTCTCAAGGTCTCAAGGTCAAGGAATGAGAGAAAGAGACCTTGGAAGAGAGCAGGTGGCATGGTTAATGTGAGAAGGGAGCAGGCCCCTGGATCATGTTCTGTGTACCTTGCGTATGTAAAAGAGGAGTGATGAGTAAACATTAAATTTGTTATATTGGTAATCTTCTTTAGACCCTCACCTTTTTTTTGAAGAATGGTAGACATTGTTTAGAATGCCATGTCCCGAGAGAAGGGATTTGCTAATATAAAATTTTGATCGTTTCCCCATTTCAAAGAGGTTCTTAGCAGGACAGTTGTGAAGGGAAATCTCTCATTCAGATTTTTATTCAAAGCGAAAGTGAAAAAAAATTATATTCTGTAAACAATCACAACTAAAGAATATAGATGTTTGTGTGAAAAGATGCCATTAGTGACTATTAGCATTCAACACTGCTTGATCTGGTAAAGTTTTATAATAAAAAAATATTTATAAGATAGATTTTCCACTGAGTCATGTTCAAAGATTTTTTTTGGGAAGTTAAAGTATAAGTTTATAGACCCTTGCCCTCACAAAGGGGTGTTTAAATGCTAAAATAAGTAATGATGTCTCTGAATAATTATTCAATTCATTCTCCAGTGAACATAAAATGTTAGGCACATTTTTGTGATTGAAGCTTATCTAATTTTTACTTTTTTTCTCTTTCCTTTTATATATATATACATTTACCAGACTAGGTTAGATGGAAGTAAGTCACTTGAATTGACTGTTTGAACAAAGGTTGAGTCAGTCTCCCTCATGTAAAGATTATTTTAAAATATAACATTAAAATAGGACTTATTTTTTCTTTATCTTAAAAAATTCAACAATTTCTTATTTATCTGCTTGTATCGAATATTTCTCACATCGTATTCTTCGAATTGTTTTAATGTTATCTCTCATGATTATTCTTTTTTTATTCTGCTCTCCTATTTTACTCATTTACATTGTTCCGTACTTTATCCTGGGCGCCGGCCATTGCACTCCCACTCTCTGCAACACAAATGTTCATATCTTTGTTCCCTTGCGCGCGTCTTTATTTAATATCTTTCATATATAGAAAACCAACATGAGAAGAAACTCTACTACTGAATTGAGTAGAATGATTACATAGTAGAAATAGGTGGAGAATGAAGTAGAGTGATAAGGACAGAGTAGAAGAATGTAGGTAGAGTGAGTGGCATATGATAGATAGAAGATGATGAAAGAGAGAGAGAAGTAGAGAGAGACGAGAGAAGTAGCAGAGAGTAGCAGAGTGAGGAGGGATGAGAGAGAGAGAGAGGAAGAGATAGGACGCAGTGAGAGTAGAGAGAGAGGTGAAGTAGAAGAGATAAGTTAATAGGATAAGATGAAAGAGGAGTATAGTAGTGATGAAGGGAGAGGAGAAGACGATGTGGATTGAGCAGAGATAGAGAAGAAGAAGAGAGATGTAGTGCAAGTATGAGATCGATGTAGTTATTGCACAAAGGAGACGAGAGAGTAAGAGAGAGAGATTAGTGAGAGATGCAGAACTAGTAGTATTGTAAGTAGAGGAGAGTAATGCGAAGTGAGCGATAAAACAAGATGAGAGCCATAGAGTAGACAGAATGGAAGCAGCAAGAAAGAAGAGAATGATCATGAGTAGAGAGCCGCAGAGTAATAGCAATGAATACAACAGCAAGTAGTTGAAACGAAGAGGGACGGAAGCGCAGCAGGAAAGAACAAGAAGTAGGGAGGAGCGAGAGAGAAAAACGAAGGCAGAGAGCGACAGACGAAGGTAATTTCAAGGAGGCGGCAGAGAAGCAGAGAGAGAGAGAGCTAACGATAGAAGCAGGGCAGATGACGAAGAGTAGAACAGCGTGGTAAGAGCACTGAGAAGAGGCAGAGCAGAGAGAGAGAGGAGAGAGAGAGGAGACGCAGAGGAGAGGAGATGAGACGAGAGAGAGCAAGAGTGAACGAGACAGAGAGAGAGAGGGAGGAGAAAGGAGAAGCAGGCAGATGACGAGAGAAGTCAGGTGAGCACGAGTGTGAGATTGGAGAGCAGAGAGGGGCATGGGGGAAGAGCGGTAGCAGCAGACGCAGCAAAGCAGAGGTGCGAGAGTGTTTAACGGTGATGAAAGAAGAAAGCTGCACAGAGAGCAGTGATATATGTCTTGAGCAGGTAACGGAGCAGAGTGAGCGAGGGAGAGGGAGGCAGATTAGTGCGAGAAACGTGAGACGATCGAGAAGCGAAGTAGAATGGAGATGAGAGTAAGTGAGGAGGGTGGTGAGAAGTAGGAGTGATAGAGTAGAGTTAAATAGTGAAGAGGTAGGTTAAGGAGAGTAAGTGAAAGGAAAGAGAATGAAGTAGAGAGAGTGATAGAATGAGAAGTAGGTGGTAGGTTGAAGTAGTACAGAAAGTGGGATGAAAAGAACAGGCAGAGAGACGAGAGAGAGAGAGAGAGAGAGAGAGAGAGAGAAGAAGAGAGAAAGAGAGAGGGAGAGAGAGAGAGAGAATGAGAGAAAGGGGAGGGGAGGGAGGGAGGGAGAGAGGGGGGAGGAGAGAGAGAGAGAGGAGAGAGAGAGGAGGAAGAGAAGAGAGAGGAGAGAGAGAGGAGAGAGAGAGAGAGAGAGAGAAGAGGAGAGAGAGAAAGGGATAGGAGAGAGATAGAGAATGAAGAGAAAGGGGGAGGGAGGGTGGGAGGGAGAGAGGGGGAGAGGGAGAGAGAGGGGAGGAGGAGAGAGAGAGAGAGGAGAGAGAGGAGAGAGGAGGAGGAGAGAGAGGAGAGAAAGAGAGGGAGGAGAGAGAGAGAGAAGGAGGTAGGTTAAGGAGGAGAGTAAAGGGGTAGGGAGTGGGAGTTAATAAATACGAACATATAGCATGTTCTTAAATATAGCACAGGACACCAGAGGGCACACATATAAGTACACAGACAGCACACACATTTACGCAGCACAACACATACATGCATACATACACACATTCACAAAAAACCACGAGAGGCAGGGAGGACGGAACACACACACAATATGAGAAATGGCATTATAATTATAGTGGAGAGGAAGTATAAAAGGAAGGAGAGAGATATAAAGTAGAGTAACACAGCACGACAAGGAGAAGAAGAAGCACCAAAGACACACACACACACAACAACACAAGAACGAGAATGATAAAGTATAAAGTAATAGAGATATATGTAGAAAGATATATAGTATAAAGAAGATAGTAGAGATAAGTATATATAAGAGAGAAAAGAGATAAATGAAAGAGATAACTATGAACAAAGTTCAAAGCAGGACAGAGATTCCCTCGCCTAAGAGGTAAGTAACAGCAGCAAGCGCAAATAGAAGCGCAAATGCACTCGCGCAGCAAAAGGCACGACGACGGCAGCAAGGGAGAGAGAGAGGACGAGAAGGGAGGTAAATGCAGGAGAGAGGTAGAGCAAGGGCGGGCAAAGGCGCAGGCGACGACACTCGTGGTGGGAGATCACTATGCAGGAGGGGCGATTGAACTCTGTAACAAGCCATTACTATGTAAAATTTGTTTTAACGAGGGAGACCTAATTTATAGTTATGGCGCCAAAATCGAGCAGGAGGAGCCAGTCGCTAGAGTGGGAGATGGGGCGAGGGATGCAGATGTAACAAACTTTTAATTAAAGAAAATAAGTTAAATTTACGCGGAGGATAAGGTGGAAAGTAGACGTTGAGAAGTAGGATCGGTGTGTGTGGATCTGTAGCATGTGGAGAGTAGGTCGTTAAGCGATGTGTTGGGTAGTGTGCGAAGTAGTAGTATAGTATGTTTGCTGAATATGTAGTAGTGTTGGTAGTGTGGTATGATTTTGATGTATTTGCTGCTATTGTAGTCAAATTCACGGTATGTATTAGTGTTAGTGTATGTGTGTGTATGTGTGTGCTCAGTTTATGTGATTGATTGAAATGAATATGATATAAATATTAGAATGAATAATATGAATGAATATAGATATATATATATGATATGAAGTATATCTGTATTTTTATAATGTTTTGAAATATAGAGTTTATAAGTAATATAATATGAGAGAGAATACATATTCACCTACCATATATATATATATATAGATAGTATTATATATATTATTATAACATATATATAATCTAAAATACACACACACAACAGGAGAAGTATTACTAATATCACACTATAATTACGAAAATACTAATATATCATTACATTATAATATCAACATATACACTTTATAAATACTCAATGCATGAAATACAAATTATAACATTATCAATCTGTTGTAAACATGAGAATTATCATTATAAACATAGAATATATATACTAACATCTTAAATTATATACTTTTAATATTATTATATAACAATACATAGATAATAAGTGAATTATACTGAAATACCACTCTACTAATGCAAGTAGATGTCACTTACTGCCTAATAAAGATGCATCAATATAATGTAATAGTTTAGTTAAGAAAAAGAAAAATAATAAAATAAAACATTGTGGAATCAAATATGTATACATCTCTAACAATATAAATAAATATATTTATTCTACCTCAACAAAGGAAAACATATATAAAACATATCACTCGCTATATGATAAATACTCAATATAAATGTACACACAGTCTTCTAATGATGATCTGTTGTATATATAGTTAAATACTAACTAATGCATTATATAGTCAAAGGTAGCTTTCTGTGGAGAAAGAAAGAAAAATTGTTGATTAGCTTTTTACATTTGACTTCCCAAACTGGATTTTTTGCGGTGTGTGATGACGACTGCTTAATTCTTTCTACATTCAGTACTTCACTCTTCTGACCTCGCATGACTAAAACTGCCATTTATGACAGAATTTGATTTTTTCAAATTATACTAAAGTTCTGATCTGAATCATTATCATTTACCAAAGGAAAATTAGTGAAATAAGATATGGAGAATCAGTTGTTACAGTGTATGAAATCAATTAATATAAATAAATTAGTCACAAGTGTTTACAATGATAGTAATAAATAGTCATTTGACTAGAACTGCAACAATAAGAAAGCTTACACCATACAACATTTTCAGATATAACACAATAATCTTTGCAGCATGAAGCACCTGACACCTTAGGATGTTACAGTGTCTTTGAAAAGGAGCTGAAATGCAGCGCCTGACACAATAATATGCCATTCTATTATTGCACTTTTCCTAGTGAGACCATTGTGATATTTCACCATTAAATGAAAAATTATCATATATAGTGATGAACTTGTACAATGCTTTTATTCTTCATCCAGCCTCCAATCATAATTGATACAAAAATTATATTTGTGCGCTATTCATTTGTTTTTCAGTGAAAATTATTTGACACAAAATGGAGATTTTTTTTATCCTGGTCTCTGTTTTTATCTTTTTAAACCATGAAATAGGAACATTTTCTATTCTTGCCCTATTAATGCAGGTAATGCTTAGAGAACACTTGATAACTTTACAAATTTCGTATGTAAAGAAAACAAATATAAAAATGTTTGCATTTTACGCAGTCTGTTCCTCTGAGGATGGGCAGCTGCACTTGGTAAAAGCTCTGAGGAGATAAGCTGCATTTTCAGGGCCTTCCATAAGTGCCCCATACACTAAGGCTGCACGAGAGGCTGGTGGCCCTGGGGTCTTGAGAGCTCTTGTGAGAATTGCTGATAAAATAAGCTGCATCTGTGCTGGTCGAGCGAGAAAGACACGCGCTGCACAGGTGACTAAATCAGCATGAGTTGATGCAGCTGCTAATGAAAGGGGAGATATACTTTCCACAATATCATGAGATGTGTCTATATAAGCAGCCAATGTTCCTAGTGCATGCAGAACTAAAGTAGGGGCAGCTTCTTGGACTGTACTCCTTGATATCGCTCGAGTTACTGCTGTTATGAGTTCTTTTGGCAGGTCTGGCAGTTCCCTCAAGGGTCCAATTTTGAGCTTTTGCTTTGCTTTTTCTGTAAGTTGATTAATGTCCTCTCCCTGGGGCTCACTCTTGGCAACTGCACCCTCAAGGACCTCCACTTTGCTGTTCATTGCTGGGGTCACATTTTCCATCACTAAATCTGGAGAAATGATGGTTAAAAGGCACTCCAAGGCAGCAACCACTACCCTCTCTGTAGGTACATCAAGAAGAGCTTCAAGTGTAGAAAGACACATCTTGTAAGCAGCGCTATTCATCAAAGCTAGCTTTCCTAAGCAACTGATTGCTTCACGAAAACTCTGGTAATCACTGCAGAATGGTTTCACTTCCTCTATGAGTTGGCACACATTGGAATCTGTGCTAACTAGAGGCAGTACTTTGAGCTTCTGTGTTTTAAGGTAACCTGGGTCTTTAGACCTGACCAAGAAATACTTATAATGTGACCCAAAAACTTCCCTGATGTCTCCTAGTGTCTGCAAGAACTCTACCATCAAGAAGGATGTCTCAGGAATGTTTCTGCTGAGGATTTTGCAAACAGGAGCATGTATCAGCTCAAGCATATCCTTCTTCAGATGCTGATGATCTTTTGTTAGATGAAGGAAGAGCTTCACAGAAGCAATAAGTACGGCTGGGGTTTTGGAGGTTAGTATCTCATCTAAGGCATTAAGCATGGCAAAAATCTCTTCTTCGTTTTTTGGCGTATACCTGAAAAACACAAGCCAAAAATGATTTCAAAATATGCTTCATCAGTATCTATTAATAACATTTTCAGTACAAAAACAATTTTAAGTACCTAAAATTAATTTTCAAAAACTTATATAAATCAATTATAATACAGAACTTTCATTTTTTCTTTTATAACACTCTTATAACACATTCACGCAAAAGCACACTATAAAATCACTGTCTCTTGGCTACAATTTTTAAAAATTTGAATTTTAAAAAATTATTTAATTTTCTCTCCCTTAACGGTCACCTCCCGCACAAGATATAATTTCATCCTTAAATCCTACAGAACTGATATCATGAATGTGTTACCATAATGAATTGAGTATTTATAAGTGTTGTGCTATTCTATAACCTACTAACTCACCTGAGCAACAAGGTCAATACATATACAGCATTGCAGTCTGAGAACTGCATCACTCTCCCGAGAAGGTAGTGTGCAATATTTTTGTTGACAACTATACCTCCCTCATTGTTGAGGATGGTGTCTAGGGCAAGTATGCAATTGGTTATGACTATTGGGTCTGAATCTCTTATGCCTTCATACAAGGCATTGACTAGGCCACACTCTAGCACAACCTGAGGAGCATGACTATGGAGTCTCATACATGCTACTGCTCCAGCTCTGCGTACCTGAAAATTAATGAAAGAACCTTGTTAGTGGATTCAGCTTTTATAATACATTTTATCATTACAGAATTGCAGATTAAATTACATCACACAATCACAATATGTGTTCAATATTCAAATTCTGGTTTCAATATTCAAGATATTACTCTATAATACCAGGTAATGCAAAATAGGTAAAAATTGCCTTAAACTAGCCAAATAAAATTTCTTGGTCAAAACTTAAACACTTTTAAGAACTTTTAAGAGAGACCCATAGGAGAACCAAACCATAAAAAGAAAGATTATACATTACAGAAGAGGCATACACATTCTCACCATAGCTGCTTGGTCTGACAAGGCAGTTGTAATAGCCCTGACAGAGCTCTCTTCAATGCCAGGCAGAGCTGCCAAGGCAGATATGCTGGCACTGCGTACAGTTGGGTTGGCATCGGATGTATCCTTAAGGAGCAGGTTTGCAGTCAAGAGTGCTAAGTCAGCATTTTGTGAAC